AAGATATCAAAATCAATAGATTTAAATCATCCATTCATTACGACATCAAGCACAATATCAAGTGAAATGAAGGACCAAATGAGCAATAATTTTCTTATCAATTTTCCCGGATGTTGTGATGTTAATACATCATCATCGTCATTATCACTGAAGAATCAGCAACAGCAGCAGCAAATTATTGAGAAGAATTTATCGCCATTCAATTATAATGATGAATTTAATAACAGCTCAAATGTTTATAATACGACAAAATCAACTGACATTTATCATCAATCATCACCCGTATCACAGTCATCGCTTAACCTCAATTTAATTGTAAATCAGCAGCAGCAGCAGCAACAACAAATCATTCCAAATAGCTTTTGTGGCGGTCAAATTGTATTCAATAGCAATAATCCATTTTTGAATGATAATTTCGATTCAATTACGAGCGACACAAGTGGTAATGATGGAAATAAATTGGACAATTTCTTCAATATTCATGATTCGAATGATTCAGAGCTTCTTTTTCTATCCGATGAAGTTACGACAGCAACAACAACGCTGATGAAGGAAAATGATGATGATTTCAATCAGCAAGAGGAACAAGTGCTGAAAAATAAGCGAGAGAAATTCTCAAATGCCTCGCCGACAATGAAAATTTGTTTGGTCGTCTCACCTCCTACGAATAAATTATTTCAAGTAAGTATATTCGATTGTCACACAAAGACGTATCAATTTGTATTCTGTAGATTTTTGAGGCTTTCTTTCTTTCGTTTTTGTTGGGTTGCTTTTATATGAATTTCTGAACTTAAAGCATTGATTTTAAGATTTTTTTTAACAAAACACAGTTGCTTCAAAAATTCTCAATATTCAATGAATTTCCACTCCCTGAGACACAATTCTAAAAGAAACTGAAACCTGAAAATAAATTCTTCAGATTGCCATCTCGCTGATCTCAATACATTATAATTCAATTACCATTTTTTCGTCTTTTCGTTTTTTGTGTCAAAATTAAATAAAAAAAAAATTCGAGATGTTTGCAGAATTTATAAATAGCTTTAGATATGAATCCATACTTTTCGTACTTCTTATTTTTTTATTTTGTGTACTTTTTCCGCCGTTTCGAAAAAATGTTGTAGAATCTCTTCAAGTTTGTTGTTTAAAGAAGAAGAGAGAAAAAAAGTTAACAAGGATGATGTTTTGAGCTAAACTTGATGGACATTTCTACGAAATTTTTTATGCTTTAACGAATATTTTGCATAATATGCGAATTTTTGTGTTATATTTCGATGATTTAGATATTTTTGGAGGCTTTTTGAGGTTTCATACTTTTTTGGGGGTTTTTAAGGTTCACCTTTTGATTATAACCTGATAACATTAATAGAATTAGGTTTGTCAAAAATGCTTTTTTTGACTGTTTAAGATGTAGCATGGGTTTTATTACCAGCAATGAACAACATTGCAATTTCGATCCTTCAACCTCCTTCTTACAGATTTTATTATCCTTAAAGGCTTGAATTTCATACTGAAAAATAACTGCTAGCTACTCAATTTATTATAGATCTTGAACAATAAGCTAAAAAGTTTCAAGTTTCATCCCAATCAGTTTTTAAGCATTCTCAAATATCTCAGAAAAAATCCGAAAACTTGAACGTGAGCACAACACGTGCAATATTGATTTTATTTTATTCTTAAATATAACAAAGTTTCAATCCTCTTCAATATGATCCTAAAGGAAATTCAATTCAAGAACTTCAAGTTTATAATTCAATTTTTATTGATTGGTAGTCAAGGTAAAGTTAGCAAAATATTGTGATTTTAATTCAATCATTTCCTTTTAACGATTCACGTCTTGGTTTAAGAAGAAATTTTTTTTCTTCAAATATTTATGGGACGTACAACAGCTGTACATCCGTCAGGTTAAGAATATTTTTAAGGTAGAGCAGCTGTGAATTTTGATTCGTTAAGTGATAAGTGAGTAAGGTAAAATTGTGGAGAAAGGTTCTTACTATCATCAATTTACGAAATTTCATAATTTACGGGAAAAGGTACGAAACCATAAACTGAATAACTTTCAGCGTAAATTGATTAAGATTTGAAATGAAAACTTTTTTGGAAGAAACATTTTGTATTCTCAGCTATGACTGCATTCCGCAATTAATTTTCAGAATTTTTACTGCCACTCAAAATAATTAAAGGTTAAAAAACTGTTAATTCATTTATAGTACCTTTTCATAATTCATGCTCTTGTGTTGTACGTAGGATGTTTAAATAACCCCGTCAGCCTTTCAACAAAAAAAAAAAAGTCAAGTCAAGCACGTTTTTACAGATTTTTAGTACCTTTTGTTTTGGAGCTTGACTTTTTGTCTAGCATTTCATTGTTTATGTTTTGTGTAACAATCCTTGCTTGTAAAACAATGCTTTCTTCTTGATTCTTCCATCTAATGGCGACCTTCTTGACATTTTGTCAAAGTAATTAGAAGTCTTTCGGTAAATTATGTCTATTAAATACTGAGATTTATAAAGTCTGAGAAGATGCAAGTTTCATGTTAGAAAATTCTATCAAGAACTCACATCCAGTTATAAATGACCTAGTTATTCAAGCATCAATGCTTTTACTTTAATTCCAATTCATTCATAGTAAATTATATTCCAACAAATGCGTCGTCACGTCCATTTTTCAAGTCCCTCTCAAACTGATTTATTCGTTACTTCAATTCACCGTAATGTAATGTAGCAAATTCAAACAGCAAGCTTCAAGAAATAAAAAAGTTTTTGTACATCTTAAATAAATTCAATTTGAACTACAGCTATTGCTATCGATGCCTCAGGTAGAATCGGAAAAGAAGAGTAAGAAAAGTGTATTTTTTTCGATACTTGCCAAAGTTCTGCATCAATTTATTTTTATTTTAAGAAATTTCCTTATTTAATATTCGCTTCCTGTCTTCTGGATTTACATGAGACTATTTTCTATGGTTTTGTGTTTTTTATTTATAGAGGAATGTGAATAAAATGTAATATATTATGATAGAAGTATGATTTAACATGTAAGCTCCGAGAAGCTTAAAATGACAACCGCATATCTACCGTTACTGGAAATAAAATTTAATATTCAAAGGAATTGATGAAGGAAGTAATATTTTTAGACAGATGTGCTTTTTTGGGAAATTTTGAAATTTTCTTGTGTGTTGGTAATGAAAAATGTTGAGTAATCCTTTAAGACTGTTTCAATATTCCTAATTTCCCCAAAGAAACTTTCAATCTTTCCTGTTCCACAAAGGTTTTAGTCATGAAAATATTTCTTCATATAATCAATTTCTTTTTTAATGGATAGATGACTGAGAAAGCAGTGATGATAAAAATAACATTAGTAGCTTATGTAAAGTGGCTTAAAGAGCTTAAAACATTTTTTATTCTGTTTGTCGCACACAACAGCTATGAAAATGTGTGGATACATTTTTACTCTGCTTCTTTTAATCTTGAAGTCAATGATTTTATTTTCTTTGTAAAAAGCTATTGATTTTTTTTCTTCATCCATTATTTATGGACTTTTCACAGACACTTATCATTGGCATTGCTTATAGCTGATTATGAGCTTATTTTACGGATGAACGGAAGGAAGAAAAACAGCGAGCGAAGAATTTCCCTTATCAGTTGTAATTATATTCATTTACCTTCCTACATTATGCAGGAAGATGATTGTAAAAATGAGAAAATTCAGCAGAGTCCTCCCTGGAATATTTTAGTTGCATAATCCGTTTACATGCTTTTAAAAACATATTTTGTGAGATTCAAAACTTATTTCCGCTGGTTAAAAGAGATAAAATGTAAATTTTATAATTCAGCTATTTCAAAGCACATTTTTGCTTTGTAAGGTCAAAAAACTAAGCAAAATTTAATTCTCAGAATTGAATCCTTTGAATTTTCATTACAAAGATTCTGAACTCAATCTAAAGATTGAACGAATCAGCAGAAAAACTTTACTAAAACTTTTTTTCATCAAATCTACACTGAAGCTTCTGCAATTCATATTTGCTGTAAAGCAGTCACATGATTTCCATCATATGCGATTAAAATAAGAATTCGGAGTCAAACCAAGCTGTCACTTGATCATCCAAAAATATCCATTACATAAATCACAATAAAATTTTCTCATCTATATCAATCATCAAGACTGAATTTTGGTAATTGTTCGTAATTTGATTATGAGTTGTACAATAAATTCTATTTTTGACAGGCAATTTACTAAGAAAATAAATTATTGTAGCTATAACTGTTGTAACACCATAACCATAGAAAAGTAATCAATTTTCCTGAAACCATCATGGGATTTCATTGGTGTGAAATTGTCAAGTGACTAGACTATCTTTGGAATTAATATAATAAGCTTTTAGCAATCACGTTGAGTAACCATATTGAGACATCATTATTAATGGCTTATTGTGTATTTCAAATGTGAAAACTGAGATTCTAAGAACATTTGTCAATTTTTATTCGCAAAGTAATTAAACCTTAATGATGCCCTTCAAATGGTTCCCAAAAACAAAGGTCAAACTTAAATAATATTTAATTAATTTATTTAAGAAAAATGTCATCCAGTCAAAAGAGTATTCATCACTTTTAACTGTCTATCTTTATACATTTTATAAATGCTGAATCTTTTGTTGACATTTAAATTAAACAACTGAAGTGGAATGGAAAATTTTCAAATGAAAAGTTCCAAGCAAGCAACTTTATACTCTTAACATCATTATGCTCTCTGTTCATCTTGTAGCAATGATAAACCTTCAATATCATAAATGCAACTTCCCTTCCAAGCACTACAAAGCTAGATTGACATTATTTTTACTTATTCACTTTTCTTATTCATTTCCTGAATAAATTAATTCAATTTAACTTTCAACTCTAGCTCTATGCATGCACAAACTGAATTGAGTTGAATATTTTTAATCTGACTAAAATTTCAGTTTTTTTTTAAATTATTTATTCATGAAAACTTTATTTAATATCATTTACAGTTGAAATCGAAGAGTTTAACTCATCTGGACCGCATTCAACCACAAATAAACATTTCATCAAACAATATTCCGTACAAGGTAAGCAAGAGAGCAACAAAAGTAATTTTTCTTGTGCTCATCCAAGGCAGAAAAGCCTTCATCATTCTTAATCCACTCCTATCATCATGATGAGATATTTTATGAGATTTCTTCTTCTTTTGTTTGCATCGTTCGTTTTCAATCGGATCACATTCTTTATTCACTTGATGAGGAGATTTACCTTTATCTTTATGAATGGTCCATTTTTTTTTTGTTGTAGCTGAGATGATGATTATGACAGAAGATGATATGGAAAGATGAAGTAAATTAAATCAATTGAAGTTTGGACTATCTTTGAAAGTATTTTGGTGAAAAATCTTGTTAAAGATTGTCAAATTTGGGAAACTCTCAAGGTTTTGCACCTCGAGAACTAATGCGTCTTAAATTAAATTTTATTTCAATATTGTTGGGAAATTCAATTTACTATAGCTAAGATATTTGTTGATTTCATGAATGCTTGAGACATATAAAAGCAGAACCGTGTGTTGTTTACTTGGGTCAATTCCTCTGTTTTAGCAATTTTTGTAAAATTAAGTAAATTAAGATGTTTCTCAAGTGCATTAGTGATAGGGGCCGTTCACTTTTGACGTTCACAGGGGGGGTCTTCAAATAATTGTTTAGATCACAAAATATACAAAACTGCAACGTAACCTCTTAGTTGTGAATCATAACAAAAATCTCATGAAATCTTACAAAAATAAAATATTTTGATCGATAATTCTTGAATAAATCTCCATTAATTCATAAATTGCGCATATAAAACTTCTTCTGCTTCAAATTTACCTTTATTTCTGTTTTAACTTTTTTTTCCTATTTGCTAACGAATTGGAATGACCAACGACGAATAAAAAAATAAATAATACGAAATAAAAATTGGAAATAACGTTCTTAACATAATTTTATGTTTATTATTATTACAACACTCCGTTCGTCTACAACAATAAAAATAACTTTTTCGTACATGAACTTTCGTGCCGTTCTTCGTTCACAAACGTTAATAGAATATTAATGGCAACCACGAAAATGGAACATCAAGTAATAGTCAGGCAGATAAGACAGGTCAAAATGCTAAATTTATGACCCCATTAAATTGTCATCAAAATGAATCTGCTAGCACTAATTGTATCGTTAACGATACACCAATTTCACGTCATGATAGTACAATCACTACAAATCTTCCCGCCATTAACTCGTCACATAGCGAAAGTCCAATGAAATCATCATCATCGTCTACAAATATTAAAAAGAAATCATCATCATTCCTACATCGTGATTATAATCGAAAACCGATTCTTGCAAGGAGTCAAGTGAGTAGTTTAATAGCTGAATTGCTATATACACAAGAATCGATGTTATTTGCTTATGTTGCATGGTTTATGAATGAGAAAATGAGAAACGGAAGCTTTCTAGATTGTTATAATCCGCTTGAGTTCAAAGCAAAAGAAGGAAAGCTTATCATTTATTTTTTTCAGTGCTGTTCTTGGCAGCCTTCTTGAGTTATTCTTTCTTTCCTTCTTGTTATGATTTTAATATTTAATCTAGAAAAATTAGAATTAAATTTCTGTTTTCTTTCACTGTAATTTTATTTACATTATACAATGATCGTGATATAACTGTCTGAACATTTTCCTTCTTTTTCGTCTAGTTAGAGATGACATATTTTGTTGTTATAGTCAAGGGCAGTTGTTGAATTGAGCAAGGAAAATGCTTTGCTTGACTTTTTATTCCAAGAAGGACTAGAAGACTGAAAAAAGTCAGAGCTGGCAAGTTCATGGACAAAGCTTTTTCAGTTCAAATTTCAAGAATTCAATTACTTAATTGAGTAAGCTATTGTATTTCATAAAGATCTTCTAAGAAAAGACTTGAACCTTAAAGATTCTTAAAATTCCTCAAATTTCAAAGATATACTTTCAAAATCCTTCAACACTTGTGATTCTTACTTTATAAATTCACTAGTTTATGTAACTCTTGTTCTTCATACAACATTTAACAACCTTCTTATCCTCTTCATCAACATTTCTTGTATTTGTTTTTACAAAGCAGAACAAACAATTCAGTTTCTCCTTTTCCATCTTCCTATAGATGTAAGCAGAGATAGACTACAAAATGTAACTTTTAGAAATTTATATTTACAAATATAGCTTTTTATATTTATTTTTTCTCGTACTTAGCAACTTTTTCTGTTTCTTGAATATATTTTTGCATACAAATTTATTCAGAGAAAAATCTCTGTGTACATTTTGGTTTTTAAATATTTCTCACATTTTTCTAATTTCCATTTCGTAATTGAATTTCTTGATTTGAAATTTTCATTTTTTACAGACATTCGATTGCATTTATTTTATTTATGAGTAGATATTTCTAGCATTAATGTAATTATTATGATGAAAACTAGAGCTCGAAGTCGACTCAAATTTTCATCGATTTTGTATGTAAGTCGACTCGACTCGACTTGACTTCATACAAAATTTTATCGACTTCGAGCTCTGATGAAAACTATTAATTTAGTATGCAAATGCCACTTCCTACAGCATAAATGTTTACTACTAATGAACTTTAGATAAAAATGAGAAATAATTCTGAAAATCTCCAACAAATTACTCAAGTACCAATACATACACGTCTCGTCCGAAAATTCATACATTAAATAAATATTTTAGCATCTTCTCAGCAGGAGAAAATGTCAACCTTTTCACAAGAATATGAATTGGCAGGTTCTAAATCAACTGAAAGCGGTTGTTTTTTCTGGCTTATCATCCTTTCAACTTCACTGTGCACTTAACCTCTAGCCACCTGACCTTTTCTCGAAAATGATATATTAAATCTACCTTTGAACCCTTTTAAAATGTGTAACTTGCCATGTTAGAAATGAGATACAGAACGTACTGCTCTCATTATTCTAGAAATGTGCACTTAGGAAAGGTTTTAAATAATGGTGATAAGAAAAAAAAATCCTGCGGAATAAGATAATGAGTGTGCCATTTAAAGGGTAAAATTATTTTTTTGTCGTAAATTCCGAGAAGATGCCAATAATATTCAGAAAGTTGCTCTTGCTTCCGAAAAACTTTTCCTCCACACATTTCTCAATAAAATGAAAGAAAAGTGCACGAAACTTTTATTGTCACTTAGTAGGTGATATATGAAGCATAAAAATAATCAAATATCCATGTAAATTAACGTTCCGAGACATGCAAAAGCCATGAAAAATATTTTTTCACACCAGAGAAATTTCATTTCGTAAAATAATTCAATTTAAAAAAGCGTTCATTCTAATTAAACCGTCTAATATATAATGCATGTGATATTCCATACTGAATGTCTCAACCATATACCAAGGAAAAAATTAACAGGAAGGAGAATACTAAACTAAATGAAGCAGGACGAGAAGTTAAAAATAAAATTCAGTAATAAAATTAATTATGTATTAACGGGGAAATATTTTTTTACTCTCGCTTGTATAAATAATCCTTTTTTAATTTGAGAATTCCCTGAGTGGAAATGAACAAATTTTATTTTATTATTTTTTAAAAACGGCAAAGAAAAAGCTTTTAATTTTATTTCATATTTTTCCTTTCTTCCATTTACGCTTAGGTGTCAAGTTCAGAGTATTTTTCCGTGTGCTTTGATACAGAGAATGGATTTAAAGATAAGGATGAAATATTTATAGCAGCAACAAAAGGCATTGCTCTTGGGTAAGTTTCAACATAAGTAGTTAAAATAGGCAATAAATTTTGACAAAATAGAAATTGAGTGTATTTAGTTGAGAGTAATTAAAGAACTGAAAGATTTATTTTTACCTGAAACTCTCGAATTTTACTCCATTTCTCATCCATTCCTTCTTTTTTCCGCTACAATCCATTCATGAAAATGAATGAAAATTTATGTATTTCAAACACATAAACACAGAGATTCACTGCGCCAGGCAATGATTCAGCGAAGCTTGAGCTTTTCACGGATAAGTGTGATAGATTATGGCATGAATAATTCAAACGAATTGGGTAAGGATTATCAAGTTTATTACAATATAATTTAACCTTTTTTGCCTCTCACATTATATTCATAGCGATGGATATGTATGAATATGTAATGTATTTGATTATTATATAGTCAAATATAATCATTCTCTTCATTGTTAACCCTTTTTTCAACAATATCTTTCGTCCACTGTGACCCACACCTGACGTTTATGATCTTTACACATCTTTTTTCTCGACTTTTCATATAGGCATACCACAATATTTCGGTCCACTTCATGTAAACACGGACATTGGCATTTTAGCTGGACATTCGTTGCTTGTTACGGAAAAGGAAAATGTACAAAAGAAATCTGGTCATTATGTGCTGAAGAAAGCAAACTCTGTAGGATATCGAACAACGACAAGTCGATTGTTTAGTTCTGTATCGACTGAGGAGTGTATTGAGACGAACGATACGACAAAAGTAACAAAACAAACAAAACAGAGATTATGGTCTTTGCAGTTGTTTGGTGTTAAGGTTTGTGGAAATTTGTTTTAAGCTTTAAGAAATATTTTTTGTGCTGGTAACCCGCACTAATGTCTTGATTTTTCTTATTAGAATCCACATCAAAATCAGCTCTGTGAACTTCTTAATACGTACACAAAAAACGGCGTTCCAAAATCAAAGTCTTCCTATATAAACTCCGAATACTCAGATGAAGCGCTCGAGGCATTGTATGGATTACCACAGTCGTGGAGAGATTTCGTCAATCCATGTGATATTAGTGAAACTGAAACAAAAATACAATCAGCAATTTGGGAATTAGTGACAACAGAAGTGGATTATATTCATGCTATTCAAACTGTAACTGATGTGAGTAGATTATTTCCTTTTTGAATATGAGAATATTTATAACTGTAAAACTGATATTTATTGTGACAACTGTAAGTGATCACAAAAAGTAAATGCATGTACACAAATCACATTTATTGTGTACAATTCACATTACACAAAACATACAACTTTGTTATTATTATGATATTCTTATCATATTACTGTATCGTGTGTGTTATGGATGCAAAGCACATTTCATAATGTAAACAAAATTGAATAAATTATTTTTGGATACATCAAATAAGTTATGCGAGGTAGTTGAGAGATTTCTGAGGCATTGTCTTCAAAAACTTTTACAAATTGATGCTTTGAGTTAAAAATAAATCAGTTAAGCGTACACATATTGGATCTGAAGGGTACAAAGTGGATTATGTGAATCCTGAGTTACATTATTTTAAAGCTCGTCAAGGATTAGCCAAATTGTGACATAAGTTTAATAAAACTTTCTTTTTATCATGCTATGCTACTCATATCCTAGGCATATAAGCAAAAAGCTTTTTATCCTTTTGTCAACCAAAATTTGAAATATTTACTTTATCTTCGTGTCGAACATTGATTGATATGCGATGATATGCAATATGTATATATTTACATACGCATTTACTATAGCATTTGATGTGACTGGTGTCGAAAATTTGGCAGTGACGCAAGAAAACAAAAAGAAAGGATGTCGAAACACGTGTCTCTTGTAATTTCGTCACCCGATGTCAACAGTTTCTTTACTTTTTCTTCTTCATGCACTTTATTCTGTCACATTCTTTCCTCCCTTCGCATTTAGAGGAAAAGTCAAGTTAAGTCAAGTGCTTTTGGTTTTGTTATTCTTACCAATGCAAAGTTTAGTGATTCATACATGCAGATAGTCAAGAACATAATCCATGTCAAGTTCGTAGACTTAACTTATCTCGATTAAGTTAAACAGCAAATTCAGGATGTACATATTTGAGTATGAAGCAACAAATCCCACAAGAAAACATAACTTTGGAAAGTCTGTGGTTTTTGGGTATACTAACTGAATGATTACTATTTTATAGAAAATTATTTGGGTGTTTCATTACTCGTTAGAGACTAAATTAAGTTCACTATTAAAATCAAAATTTTTACTTCTTATATCGCTAAGAACAATTCAGAATTACATGAATAAATGAACATTACAATGCTGAAATGAACAAATTTCTGATATTTAATCCTACATTCATCATATTTTAATAAGCACATAATCTTCTACACATTTACATTTATAGCTACTCAAACATTCCTCATGCCAAAAAGTGAACAAGCAAATGTTTTAATTAAAATAGTTTTCAAACGCTATTATTTATTTTAGTTTCATTTTGTAAGCATTTTCATAAATTAGGAATTTCATATGATGAATAAATACAACATTCATGACAAAAGGCTTCAAGCACATGTTTACATGTCATACTAATTTATTATTTTGGAGCTTTGATTTTTAAATTTTAAACAATATAAAACTTGCAACTGTTCGGAGCTCCTTCAAAATGAAGTTTTGATCATAAACATAGTCCAAAATTTCCGTACTTATAAATTCCAGCAATTAGTCAAATTTATTCTACCTTAATCATACCAAAAGTAAACAAATTCCAAACGTTTTCTTAAATACAGCACAACACGACTCAGATTTTACTAAAGATAAGAAACAGCAAACAAAATCGATAAAAATTCAATTACTGCCAGCCAAAATGAAAATTTATGTTTGAATATTAAGAACATGAGAATTGAGGAAATAATCGATTTGGCGAGAGAATAATAATCGTGCTTTATGCCTTTTTGCTGTATTTTTACCATTATCCAAATTATAAAGCTTAAAGCTATTGAAAACATTAGAGTGGTCATAAAATGCTTAAAATTGTTGACAACATTAAGGTTTTGGTATTGAGTTGTAATTTTTTCTGAAAGTTGGGGCTGGTTGGAAAAGCTGGGAAAAGCAATTAAATTTTGAACTTACGGGTGACTGTTATGAGTTCAAAAAAATTGAAACTAAATTTGAATTGAAAACCATATTGATTTATTTAAATATCAATTGCCTAATAGAGTCCTTCAAGTGACTAATCTCAAGCACAATAAATTCACTCTATTTAAATACAATTTCCATTAAATATAAATTCTTCTAAATTCGCAATAATATTTATTGCTTTTTTTTGACTTCAATTGCCTGCAGCAATCAACACAAACTGATAAAATCTCAGCCGAAAAAAGGATCTTCCAAGAAAATACAAAATAATAATAAAAAATTTATTCTTGCCTCAAGCTCGGAAATCTCAATAAGCAACCTTAAAGCATAAAAACACAAAAGCTAATTGAATCAAATAACTAGAAATAATGATTGTTGTAAAAAATGTCAGACATAATGATTTGCAATTTTTACTTTGCTTTTCTAATGTATTTCTTCCTTACTCGCAGCTTTTTCTTTCGTGCTTGGAAGGAATTCAATCTGAAAATCTACTTAAGGATATCGATCAGCATAAACTTTTTTCCAACATTCGTGATATTGTCGATGTGAATCTAAAACTGTGGTCGCTTTATTTATATCCAATGGTGAGTGACCTTATTGTTCTTGTATTTCCTTTCACAGCTCCGTACATTCAACGCCATTTGATATGTCTCCTTAAATTTCTCCTTCGTTTTTTTTTGCCGTATTCTTGGAAATAAAATGAGGAGGAATTTATGATTGAGGAAAATGTGCCGACTTCCTGGTTAGATAACATGACTTTACACACGACCATCATAAATTGTATTTATATGTTTTCCACTGGCATTTCCTTACAAATACCTCTAAATAAATAAAACTAAGTGCAAAAGCTAATACATTTGTCAAGTCAGAGACTTTTCCAGGAAGACTGTCTCTCATTCACTTCTTTATGGATAAATCTACAAGAAGCTGAAGTTGTTGGTGGTATTTTAATTGGATGTCAATCAGAGTTGCAACTTAAAAAATAAAGCTCAAAGTTTTTAATGATTGTGATTATTGATTGAAGTTGAAATAACTCAGTCTAGAAACATTAATTGTTCATTCAAAAATTCGACAGCAAAAATACATCCCAAGAGGTAATAATATTGCTCATGTTGCACAAATTGAGGAGCAAACATCTCAGAATACCACAAAAACCACTTCACATTCTCGTAGATCAACCCATTGAAAAAAAAAAGTATGTTCAACTAACAGCAAATCTGTATCTATAAATAATTTAGGTCAAACACAGCATGCTAACCGGACACTTAATGCGCATCGATTATTTTCAACAAGGCTTCACAAATTTTGCTTGCATTTTTGAGCCATATACAAAGTATTGTGCAGAGCAAGTGCTATGTCAGAATTATTGTAAGGAGTTGAATCGAAACAATGCACTTTTTACCTCATATTTAGCATGGTGTGAAGCACAGAAAGAATGCAATAGGTAGGTTTTTTATTATATACTTCCAACCACCACAAAGTGCATGTTTGCAAATTGAATTTTAATTGCTACCAGGTGTAAAATTATAATTTCAATGAATTATTCAGATTAGTATAATTTTTTGGATTTGTTCCTGCATTTGTCAACTATGTGGTTGGAAATTGAATTTATTAACAAATTGATTTACTGGATTTTTTTATTCATCTTCTATAGACTGCGACTAGCTGATATTCTTGTTCGTCCAATGCAACGATTGACCAAATATAATTTACTATTGTCTGCCATACGAAAGCATCTAGGAGAAGAGACTGAAGCGGAAATAATGGATAATATGGTAAGTTATCATACAGATGTTTTACTTATTGTTCATTTGTTCGTTCTCCATTCCGTCGACATTAGCTGAGAAAAGACTTTGTTAGCTACGAGGAAGTGCATCGTGTCTTTTTCTGGTTCAAATAACATTATTTAATAGCAAGAGTCTTATGCAAAAAGCATTGCGAATTTTTTAGAGAGAAAATGATGAATAGGAACGGAAAATTGTAGATGCAAGGTTTAAGGTTCATTCTAAATACGAATTAAGCGCTTTTTTACAATAAAATCAAATGATTCCTTTTAAAATCTCATAAGCCAATTATCATCCATGATTCATCATAGACAGACAATTGGTATTAAGTCTATTAACCCTTCTCAAAACTCGGCTAATCCGCTTACTTGACATACTAAATTCATACCATGTCAAAGCGATTCAATAACACACCATGACTACAAATGAGCAAACATGATGTGCTTTAAAGCATCAGTCAACCAAGCTTTAATCTATTTACACAATGAAGTCATGCGTACATAAAAGTTTTAAGCAATGATTTTCAGTGGAAAAATGAAAAAAACGGAATGTTCTGAACGAGGATGATGAAGATGAAAATTCTGTTTTGATTGTATTGACTGAAATGTTATGCTAAGCTGAGGTGACAGCATTTAGAAGCTTTAACATGTAAATATCAATGAATAAATTTTATGCTCATTTGGAGAATGCACATTAGAGGGAATTTTCCTGATAAGTTGATGGATTTATGCAAATATTTATCTATGATGAATGTGGAAATGATTGAGATTTTTCTCACATTTTAATATGGAAGGTTGGAACTATCTGAACTGGAATTTGAGAAGTTAAAATGATCTTTCCTATAAACCTTACCACTAAACCCTCAACTCCGATTAAATGTTTGATAGACAATATTATCCACAAGATAATCTAAATGTCCAATAAATTTCAAAACCAAACATCAGTTCTACTTCCAATTCATACATAGAACTCGTCCACACCTTTCAATTTTATTTTCATAACATTCCATATTTCCATTATATGCATATCATCATGAAAAAGAGAAAATGTTCAATCTTCCATAAAATTTGACAGATTTGATAGAAAAGAAAATCATATTTTTATGTGAATATATGCTCGATGCAAATACAGCAGTATGCAAACTAGCATAAAATATTTGCTAGAAATGAAAAAAAAATTAAAGCCAAATTTCAAACGAGAAATTTAAACATTGAGGTTATCTTTATTATGGTGTATTTGGATGCATTTACTCACGTAAGCCACAAAATGAAATGCAGATTGAAAAAGGATAGAATAAAATGCAATCGGTTAAAATCATTTCATTTTTAACGTGTTCTCTCTTGTGCTGTTGTTGATTTTCATTTGAATAAACTTAGAAGTGATATTGGTACTGCTGGCAAATGTTCAATGATTTGTTAGATTTCATACATGAGTGAATTTCAATCTCTTTACAAATTGCATTGTCGGTGAAATATAAGAGGGAAGTTTGGGTCAAGTTGATTTATTGAAACATGACGGAACGCATTTCATGAAAATTAGCACAATAAGGAATTAAGATCGATGGATATAACATTTTATTTTAATGTTATAAAAATTCACTTGTTCCGGTTGTGTTCTTAAACCCAAAATCAACCGGACATGCAAAAGGTTTTCGAACCTAAGTTCTGAATATCTTACATTGATCGAAAATCAAGAAAATTTGCTCCTTTCAAGCTTATTTCTTAATCTTAAGAAGATATTTATTCGGAAGTACAGCAGACATGTCCTTAAAAAACTTTAAAAGATTTGAGATGTTTAAAAATGTTTTAAACAAAAATGCAGCATTTGCCATTTTTTGATTGTACTTGACTTGTATTTTAAAAGATCTCAAGAATCTGCAGTAAGCTGCATTTTTCTAGTCTAAAGTAGTAGCTTTTCATTCCTTTGTGAAGTGAAAAGCCGTCATCACAATTTAATTGAAAATGTTTTTTCTGAAACTTAAAAAAATAAGCCATCATAAACGTATCAAGTTGTCATCAGCATGTTTCTTTTTCATCTTAATTGAATCGTTAAGTATAAAAACACAGTGACTCATAAAACATCCTTATCACATCTCAACTTTTCAATCTCAATTTTCTAGTTGAAAAACATAAACTATTTATTTATTTATTATATTTTCCACCATAGATACACTCGGTAGATGAATTCGTTTGCAGCGTTAATTCACATCTGACAACAAGACAAGAGAATGAGCGACTGAAAGGCATCATGGCACGAATCGAGAGCTATGATGTTGTGGTAAGTGAAATGACTGAGAAATTATTTTATTTACCTTAAAAATGAGAAAAAGTTTTTCATTTACCAGCACGAGAAAGTTTAGCTCAATAAGCTTTATATTTTAAAGAAGATGGAAACTTTTCCCTTCTTTCTTATCTCGTATCAATTCTTGAATGAAAGGAATTATGTTGAAACGTGTCTGAATATGTTAAATGCTGATATATCTTAACTTTCTTTTATTCACTTCATTTCCTTTTCTTCTTTATCTTAACAAACAAAAAAAAAAGGATTCGAGCAATGAAAGCCTGGAAAAGCTTATAAAGCAATATAGTCAGATGTTCGATTTATGTGCGCCAATGAAGGGTTGTGTCATAAGTCAAGGTCGTTATTTATTTCTGGAAGGCGATATGAAGTACAAAGATAATAATGCTAAGGTAAATATGGAGATAAAAATAACATGATATGATTAAGTCTTTGACTGAATGAGATTCAGGGTGATTCTATTATCTGATCGTGTCTGAATGAATATGCTAGTGAGACTCCTCTCGAGAATGCATCGAAAATAATCAATATTGATTTTTCCTCCTCTCTTTTATTTTATCTATTCTCGTTTAATGAAGATGGATGTTCATTGCTTCCTACTGACCGATATATTACTAATTTGTAAGCAAACTGCCAAAAAAGGTCATGGAAATCTAAAGGTAAGGATTCTGATTAATTTAAAATGTCACATCAAAGTGTAATGCTTGCTGAACTTAAGTGAGATATTGAAAGCTCTTGATACCATGTCAGTTTCGTTCTATTTTATCCAAGCATTAAACATTTTTGACATATAGCCTCCACCCTCACTTGTGTTTCTTCTAATTTCATCTCTTTTATAAAGGTGATTCGACAACCTTTCATGACTGACCGATTGGTAATCAAACTTAAAGAAAAAGAAAATGCAATCCATTGTGTGTACCTGAATGACTTTAATATGGTCATCGCTGCATTTGTATTACAATGTACGGAAGCTAAAAATTGGTATGAAGGCATCACAAAAGCACGTCATATCTTTTCTAAACTCAAACAAGGCACATTTGTTGATGCACAAGGACATTCGGTTAAAGTTCCGCAACAACACCACTATTTACTCAACAATACTGATAGTATAAGCATCAGAAAGTCGCCTGTGGGAAGCTCTATTGGTAAATATTCATTAAGTTTTACATATAAATTTCTACATATTACATTAGTGCATAGGATATGAATGGATAGTTTGTTTGAATACAATGTAATGAAATTGTTTGATGCGGTTGGGCTGTTTGAAGCATTCTGTCAGGACAATCAATAGTAACATCAATAGAAACTTTAAGTCAATCATTTACAAATTTTATTTGAATTTTATTGAAAATTCAGATTTTGGTATCAGATAATTGCATTTTGCTGCCTGACACGATCAAACAAACTCATTATTAAAGCTCTGACAAAAACACACTAGAGAATTTATTCAAACAGAAATTGCAAGCTTCAGTATTTGTACAATATGCTATTGACTCAACTCTTTGAAGCAGAAAAGTTTAATTAAAGCTGTAATTGATCCCAGTTGAACATTACACACTGATTGTATAAAAAAAGTTTTAATACAGCATCTCCCTTTACTAATTACCACCTACTCAACTCAACACTCAATTCAAAACTTAATTAATTTAATCTTTACTCTCTTATAGTCTCATCACTCAACAACAGTCACAGTGGATCTGTTGAATTAAATGAGTCGAAAACTGTGTCGGTAGATTTCGATAAAACCAATTCAATATCAAGCGATGAAGGCTCGTACAATCTCCATAAAGCACACTCGTCAGCAAGCAATCGAAAATTGAGACAGACATCGTCAAATTCACTTACTGTACAAACATTTAGTACACATCTTAATCAATCTATGCCGAATCTTACAAGTGGTCCTTATCATACAAATTCACATAGTACATTATTGTGTGTGCCGGGTGCAACGAAAAGTCATTCAGCACATTCTAGTCATTCTGGGAACTTGTTATCGCCTAGTCAACGTGGAATTTCATATCCTCCACCAAGTCCAACAAGGTATGTCGATGTTTTTGTGTTAACATCCTGAAAATTGTTCACAGATGAAAAATCTCGAACTCATTCATCCAGAAAGATTCATAATGAGGATAGAAATTCATTTTCACAAATTGATTTTACCAAACATTCCCTAAAAGCTTTTTGGCATTTCTCTTTGAAATGTTTATGTATACAAGTCAAAATTTATTTAAATTAATTCTTTGACTAGAATTTCTGTAAGAAAAATCGACGGTGTAGAATGAAGGAACACAGCATTTCTTAGTATAATTAATGAAACTTCAAGACATTCTCATTTAAATAAATTTTTCATTTTATTCTTCCCTTTTCTTCTTCTTCTTCTTCTTCTTGAATTAAATACACAAAACATAGAGCAACCCTCCGGCGTGGTTTTGCATTTTCATCTTCAATTAACAATAAGAACCCGCCACTAATTAAATCCCGTAATGTAACATCACAACATAGCATAAATTGGACTCAACAACAAAGTATGGCAGCACAGCAACAATTAGGATTAATGGCGACAGCAGCTGGAACTGCATCATCGACATTACAAGCACAATCGAGTCAAATTCAAGTTGTATACGAACCCGTTGAACAATCAAAATCTACAGATGCAACAAATCAACAAGTTATCGATTCAACAAGAAATGAAACAACATAATACATGCTAAAACTTAAGAGACTCTTTAGAATGCAATAGTTTTAGTAGTCTAGGGTAGCGAAATGATGATGATTTCTATTATTACGGTTGGATATAGATAAAACAAAACAAAAGAGTTTAGTGTCTTAGTGAGCGAAAGATGTCGAGAGTTGGTTGACTTTTTGATTGTATTTTATTTCTTCAACAAAGTGAAACGTGTATTTATGCACAGTACGCGATGGTTTTAGAAAAGATATAACTATTTTATAATATTGTATAAGAAATCATCAATGAATCGGTGAACTTGTGGTGAGTGAGATTATTACGGTATTTAAGTACAGTTTTTTTTTATTCTATCTCTTTTCTTGATCTTTGGAATTATTTTGTCAGGTTTTGTGCTTGCTTAGTATTCGGTTTAATTGGTGTAGAATTTACAAACACTTTTGATTAAGTAACAAAAGTTTTGAAGAGTTACAGGAACATCTAGTGAAAATTAACACGAATGGCACAAGTTGGTTAATCGATCAGAAATCCGGTAACAAACCGGTGTGATTTTGGCATGGCGCTGGATTTGAATCGAAGCTTGCACCATGCCAGAGTCATGCTGACTGGATGCTGGATTTCTATTCGATAAACTGACTTAAGCTATCCGGGCAATGTCACATCTGTAGACACTTTAACCTGCTTTTCAGTACCTATATCATACCAAAAATGCTCAAAATCTTTAAATAATTCGAAAATTGAGTCATTGAAACCTGACGAAATCATTTCAAAGCATTAATTTTTGCTGTACGAGGTAGAAAATTGAACGAGAAAAAAATTCATTCATACAATTTAATGGAGAAGAAAAATAAAATGTTGTTCAATATCAATATCGTGAATATCATGCACACACAAAACTCACAAAAAGTATTTTTTTCTGATCGAATGTGGATCTATAAAAGAAAATTTAAACCATCCCATCGTAAAAAAAATATATAAGTGAGATAAGGAGAAATCTTTTTATCTTCTTTGCTCTCATGATGGGTGATATAATATAATAAATAAATTATTCTATGAAAAAATGAATTTCACATTGGATATTTTGTACTTTTTGAACAAAGAAAATAACAAAAAACGAAAATTTTATTCTTGGAATTCTTTTTTGTGATTTGAGCTTTTGGAAATTTTGCTAAGATAAGATTTTGCTTAGGATTCAATTTCCTTCAGCAGATTTTATGCCTGAATGTAGGTTGCAAATGGTCAACAATCTTATTCATCTAAGACTTTTTTTTTTGTCAATATGAGTGGGATTAGTTGTTGACATAATATTGATACAAGACAAACTAAACTAATTCTATTTAAAAGGATTGACTTCTTGATTTTTGAATTAAAGATTTAAAACCTGTGTAAATCACGTGACTCTTATTGATTTTAAGTTGCGAAACATGAAAATCATGAATAAATTCTCGGAAGGTGTTAAACCTTTTCTATGAAAGACTCTGAAAATGTTAATTAATTTTTAACATGCTGCTTTTGAACTTCATAAATCATTCTTCAAACATTTTGTAACTTAGTAATTTCATTGATAGCAATCTCAAATCACAAAAAAGATTCTCGAATTTTAAAAAATTTAAATTGTTTAGGGAAATTTTTAAAAACAAACCAATTTTTTCAAATGAAATCATCAAAATGAGAAGAAGTAAAATTTTTTTAAGCAAAAGTGGAAGAAGAAAAAAATGTATTTCCCTTTTTGTACTTGAACCAAGCAATATAAACAAAAAAAAAAAAACTTAAACAGAGAGAAAAATTATTGATGAAAAATTCCTAGTGATGTATGTAGTGTTTTAACAAATAAATAAATAAATAAAATAAATAAATAAATATATTTAAAAGATTTATAAAGAAAAATTTATTCCAAACATAAACAAATATGACTTTTTATAGTATAATAAGGAATAATGAAACTTAAAAGACAAAACTCACAACAATGAATAAAAAAATTTGTTTGAATAAGAAATTTTAAAAAATGATGAATTTTAAAAGCATTCCAAACATGTACGCTAATATTTCGTTTAATGATTGTTCCTTTGACTTTTTTGACTTAGAAACTAAGGAAGACAAAGAAAATACGACGAAAAAATAAAGTTGAAGGAAAAATGCTGTGTAAATACAAATAATCATAGATTTTAGGACGCAAAGAAATGAAAGAAGATGAAATTGAAACAAAAACCCCTTTATGTAAAAAAATAATAATATAAAAAAAAGTAAATTAAGTTTGCTCTTTACTTATTTTCTTCTTGTAACATAATATGATAAAAAAAGAGATTTAATGAAAGTTAGTACGATGGTTGAATACGTATGACGATGTTAATGAGCGACATGAAGTTGGGATTGGGCGATTCTTAAAATGAATATTATCTTTTACAGGATTATTAGCTGTTGAAACTTATTATTAGCAAAATTATATGAAATTGCGATTCAAAAACTTATTTGATGCTATAATTGATCCAAAGCTGATCAGATTTCGCTTTATTGAACTTTTGAGATTCAATTGTTCAAAATTGTGTTCAAAATTAGCTTCACAGATGCAAAATATGATGCAAAACTCTGGTTTTGTTAATCTTAACGAAGCCTTAGCTTTCAAAAAAACTAGTTCCTAATATAAAATCAAACTATTATTCAAATTCAATTCATTTAAAGAATTTCCCATTTCTAACTTCTCTTTATTTCGTTGCTTCTCAGGCGATATATAATGTGAATGTATGCACATTTGTATGCAAGATGTGGAGGTACTTAAGTACTCTTTCATTGCATAAAAACGGTTGTTTTCGTCTTTTTAATGTTTTGGAAAGGGTAAATTTGAAAAAATAAAAAAAAAGCTTTAATGACAAAAAAGGGCAAAAAAATATTTTTCAAAGGGGAAAGAAACTACGCTTGTGTGTGATTTTAATCATTCCTCTTGATGAAGAATAAAAGTAAATATTGAATAATAAATGAGAATAATCATAATAATATTCATAAATTAACCTCTTAATATTAAACATTCATGAAACAAAAATTCTATGAAGTATGTTATAATGGAGAACTTTTCATATTTTTAGACATAAATGAGCTTTTTGAAGAAAAAAAAATTGCTACTTTTTGAGATACAAAAAAAATATTTGCGTAGTTTTTCTCCCCTTATTTAATAATGAAAAAAATAAAAAAAAACTTTTTCATTTTCATTTTTTGTCTGAATCGTTTTTGATTCAACATAAGAATAATGGCACTAAATATATCATATGAAAAAAAAGTTGAAAGACTTTGATTCATTTGCTTCTTTTTATTTTCTTCATTTCCTCCCTTTTTAGTTCCTTCATGTGAAAAGCTCATAAGACACTTTTTTTATACGGCGAGAGCTTTTTCCTCAAAAAAAAACAGTATGAATCCACAGCATCTCTATTTTCATCTCGTTCGTTTCAGTAGAGAAGGTATCAAAGTAAAAAACATCTGCTGTTCCTTCAAATTGACGACTCTATATTTCTTGTCTGCGTAGTAAACACTTAAATAATGCCATCGTACCTTAAATCCATGAAAATATGTTTGTAATAATTTTATTCTCAAAAAAATTCGAGATTTTTTTTCTCATTTTAATTATGATAATTTTCACAGGCACAGTAAAATTCCTTTTGCTACAGCTTTTTACTCATAAAAACAAAGAAATTTAAATTATATAATGAAGTCTCTAAACAGAACGAGAAAGATTTTATGTTAAAACTGGGTAGATGATTTAATTTTGCTCTAATGAAAATGTAAATCACTTTGCTGATGTTTGATGAGGATTTTCTGTGGAATTGGGAGTATTGAGATGTGGAGATTTGTTTTTGGTGGTTTTGTTCTTCCGGATTTTAAAGCTTTATTTGTCTTTTAATTATTCAAATTGTTGGAACTGTTATAAAATATGCTTAATATGCTAGAAATCAATTCTTCCAAATTTATTGATAATTTCCAGAGATTTCTGCAAAGATCTACAAACCAACCCACACTCATTGCTATAGATTAGTAAACTTTATCATTTGTTTAACTTCCAAATTTTCTGTCAAAAATTATTAACAAATAAGATGGGAGAAGAACAGCAAAGTCAAGGGAGAGAAGCTTAAAGTGATTAAGTATAAGTAATGATTATAAATCAACTTTTGAATGAAACTTTACAAATGAATCAATATCAATTCAAAAACTTTTCGTGACGAGAGAGAAAAAAAAAATTAAGAAAATTTTCCTCGCGGGAAAAACTTTTTCTTGTTCATTCACAGTGCGGTAAATTCTGCCACGTCTGTTCACTAATTTATAAGAGGGAAAAGTATGTTTCAAAAAATTTCTCAATAAGTTGCTCATTTTTGTGAATTTGTGTTTGTTTTCTTGAGTTCATGATGTCCTAGAATTGAATTTATTGGAAATATTTATGAGTTTATTAGATGAATATTTACTGTCTGTCCTTGAATTTTTTCTTGACACAAACCCAATTTTTCGCTTGAAGAAGGTTGTATTAATGTTAAAACACCTTTTTCGGTAAATTTAAAGGGGTTGGCAAGGAAAATTCATCACTGATTTCTCAATCTGATAATTATAGGTACCAAAAAATCACACCCGTAAAGTTATTTTCATTTCTAACCAAGCAAAGTCACAGACAACAGAACAAAAATAAATAGATCACCCGATTAAAATGTCTATTGAAAGAGGGGCTCATTTGAAGACATTTTATTCTGATTGTGATTAACAGAAGTAAAAAAATATTTTTTTATACAACCTCACAACTTGTAAGCCAATAGCTATATATTGAAAAATAATCATTTTATTTATATTTTGTGATTGTATTAAATTTCCGCAACCCTCATTTTTATTCCTCAACATTGTTTCCATTGAAAATAAAAATGAGAGAAAAAAATGTGGTTTTAAATTGAAATAAAATAAAAAATGCCAAAAGGCAAAATGAGAAAAAGGGCAGAAGCAGAACAGAACTTTATGGCTGTTTCATTCACTTTACATATTAAATGCTTTCAGGTCATAAAGGTGCTAGTACAATTTGCAACATCAAAGGTAATTAACAAAGAGTTTAAATGTAATTTAGCTTTTAGCTGCACGTTATGAAATTAACAATTTTGTATCGCTACGGTTAATGTAAAGTTTTGCAATTATTGAAATGAGATTTTTCCTGGATTGTGATGCAGAGTTGGAGATATGACATTTGAATGCTGGAATATAGGAAATACAATTTTCATTATGAAATTTTTCAGATATTATTCATGAATTAGAACCAGAACAAAAATTAAAATGGAAAGGATAACAGTGTCTCTAGCTTATTGCAATGCTTATGGATACCTTTGATATCTTATGATTTTTGAAGCTATATGTATAAAAAAATTATCCAATTTTTTGCAGAAAATCCGCAATTTCAGATCAAGAAAATGCAAATATGCCTTGTAAAGCATTCTTCCCAATAGGCAATTCATTGTGACATTTTAGGGCTTTAAGAACACCCTAAAAGTGTAGATTCCACCTCTGAGCTTTTCAATAAATCATTATTAGCATAACATTGAACCTCGCATTGCGAATTTCACATCATTATACTAATTAATAATAGTCCGATAAATCATGATTAAACGAATGGAGCACAGCAGACAGAAAACTCTTACTGCTCTTGAAAAATTCAATGAATAATTTATCATATTTTAAAAATATATAAACATGGCAAAACTTTTTCATTCTGCATGTGAAAAATAATATATTTTAATTTGTTTTCTAGTTGCATCATTTCCTCACGAGTTTCATTTTATAAGCATCATTAATTAAAAGAAAAAGTAGGAAGAATGAATATGGTGCTCGTGAAATTGATATTGTTTATTGGAAAATTTATATCACAGCTTTTTTGTGTTTTATGGCAATCAATAACTTTCATAGTTCGATGTGAAAAAATATTTTCCATAGATGGATGTGCAGGATTAACATGAATTATGTATCTATTTTAGTTGAACAAAAAATTTATTAATATTGAATGCTTTTTTTATCTGAAGCATGTTAAAGTTCCCATCTGGAATTATTTATTGAAGCTGTTCTCGTTGCTATGGTTATTTTTATAATATTGTGTCATTCAATCAAAATTGTTCTACGGCTAAAATCTTAAATTGTCTCTTAGATTTATTTGGATTTAAAATCATCTTTTGCAGGATGCAGCTCATAATACACAATAAACTAAGCAAAGGACAAAGCTACAATATAATAATCGTATTATTCATCTGGATTGTTCAAGGATAATTCTTGTTTATAATCATTCTGCAGGTGTGAATTGCAGCTTTTGAAATATTTATTTAACTGGCAAGTTCTATCCATAAACAAATGAGCAAGCTAGACAAGCGCTTGTGTTAGTTTATGATGCAACTTGGATCATAAAGGATTTCAAGGAAGGAACATTTTGTCAGTTATTTCTAAAAAAATATTTGAAGCCATGTTTTAAATTCAAAACCTGAACCAGAAACACAAAGTTCACAAAAAGTCCAACAACAAATCATTTTCACAAATTTTCACTAACCCACACTTTTTTTCATCCATAAAAATACGTTACACGAGTGGGAAAAGTAGATATTAGGATGGCAATAAATCATATAAAATATCCCATTCATTCGTAATGAAAAATGTTTGCAAATTATAAACTGATTCTTATGATCACGTACCGAATATTTAATCAAATATTTCCACCCCTTGAACACAATCATTATTATCAGCATAGCACGTTCGCATAATGTTCTCACATATATACTTAAAATTTATGGATGTATTTCGTCATAACTGAGAAAATAAATTCTTTAAGAAAAACTTCAAATCATTTTTATTTTTGGATTCGTGGGATTTTCGTCGGAAAATTATGAAAGTTGGAAAAATTACACGCATCAGTAAACGAAGGAGGTTTTACATCATAAATTTATCAAATTGCTGATTATGATGTGGAAAAGAGATGTTTTCATCTAATTCTGACATTTATGAAGGTATGTCAAATTTTGAGGAAGACAAGCTTTAAAAATCATGTTTAATGATTGACAAATGCTTACATACATGCAATTTTGGACATTAAGCTTTCCCTTTTTTCAAAACTGATAGGTGCTTGACCGAATCAAACAGCAACCAGTTATTCAAATTCTTATCATGGCACGGAAAGCCACATTGATCGATAATCTTCAAACTCTCTCCACAGCTTAATTATATTCATTAAAGATAAAAATTTCAATTCCTAAAAGTAATAAAATTCTGATGAAATTTCATGAGATATAAGCGTGCATACAAATCGAAATCCAAAATAAACTAATCCACGAGAGACTCTCGGATAGAGAGAAAGTCAAAAAGATGAAAGAACTTTTTATGGGAACTCACAAAACCGTAAGATTTGAGTTAAATAAGCCATTTAAAAAGATTGTTAAATTTTTTTCATTGAAATCATTAAAAACTTTCTCTTTGAGATTTTAAAGTTTCAGAATTGCGCTGCTCAGTATGATTTTCATGTCGTCGACGACTGTATTCCAATTGCTTATTAAAATTCACAACTATCTGCAGACAGCTTTTGAGTTCTCATTATGTGAATTAAAAAAATGTTTGAAAATTTTTTAAGCTACGATGCTGAGGCGCATTTGTAATTAGAGCTGTAATTTTTTACTTTGACTAATTTTAATTATGGCTTAAAACCTCCACTTAATTAAATAACATCATTCAATCTTCATCACAATACAAATGACACGACAAAACAATTCTAGACTAGTAGACTCTATAAAAAAAGCTATAAAAGTTGTTCTATTGACACCATTACGCTATTGCAAGCTGATATTTTCATTCATTCCGAGAAAAAACCAACAAAAAAGTTTTTTTAAAAGTAAGAAAAGTACAAAAATACTGCGGATATTCGACGACTATAAAATAAATGCAAACGACTAGTCAGCTAACTTCAAAGTTCTTCCGTTTCTTACATTCAAATACGAAAGAAATGTAAAGCACATGGAGAAAATCTTATTAAACTTTTTTTATGACTCTCTCCTGGAAAAAAATTCTCAAGTGTGTAGCACCTTTTGTAGAATAAAAGTAGAAAGAATGAAATTATTACATTTATTTTTAGCATCACAGCACGAATCATTTCAGTGTAAAAAGGTTCGATGTTCTTTTTTCGGCTAGCATGATATAGAAAATGAAACAAAAAAGGAAGTAAAAAATTTTCTGTGAATCATTCAAGTATATTCATCGCATTTCATTCATAATTCCTCACTTACTCTTTCAATCTCCTCCGTCACCTTCCTCTTTCTTTTCTTCTTTTCTATTAAAAAGCTTTTGTGTGTAAACTTGTTGTATGAATGGAAGTGACGATGATAAAATGGGAAAAAAGAGCAAATAACTGTGGAGAAAAGATGGTAAAAATTGGAGTGCGTAAAAGTAGAATTCTTATTTTTAATATCACGAATTAGATTTTTCACTTTTACTTTATGGTGCTATTGTGGCGAGGTTAAAGCATTAAGTACAAAAAGGTGTAACTGTGAATGAATAAAAGTGAAAGCTTTAATTCTTTTAAAGGTAATGCAATCTTCCCGATCGGCACAAATTAAAATTCATTGAAACAATTGGCATTGGCAGTCACGTGGCAACCACTTGCCTTCAGTTGGTAGTTGCTTCCAAGCCCAAATTTATTTCCCTTGATTCAACCAAAAATATTCATCTCTTTAATCCATTGTGCCAATAATCAAACATAATTTCAAAACATTTCCATCCTTTCAGACTGCAACAGTATTTTGACTACATTGAAATGAGATGGTAATTTGAATACTTAAAAGATTACATCGCAGTTGCTGTTAAGCATTTATGTATAGACGTCTGAGGTTTATCACCGAGTGAATTGCTCTTAATACCTGTCGAATTTGAGTAGATGATTAATTGTTGCCAACTACTGTGGGGCCGTTCACTTATTACGTTATGCAAAAAACCGACTTTTTTCACCCCCCTCCTCCCCTTGTTACAACATGTTACAGCTCGCAACCCCCCCCCCCCCCCCCCACTTGAAGAAGTTGGCACCAGATGTTTTTCACTGTGGCTCTATTATCAGTTTCGAAAGATTTTACTGTAAATTATTATACTAAACCCTTTTAAGTCATACCTTTATAACGGAATCATTTCCCCACAGTCATTAATTTTTGTATTAAAATAATTGAAATTAAAATTGCCTTCCTCTCTATTTACACTGAGTCTTTAGTACACCAGGACGTAAATAAAATTTCACTTCCAAATATTAAATTAGTTTATTTTAAAAAAAAAAGTTTTGTAATACTGCTTAATAGTCTCCATGGAAATTAATTATATAACAACAAATTACCTTATTTTGTAACACGTTTATAATGTTGCTAATGGTAAATATTATTTATATACAAGTTTATAAATCAGCTGAGGGAGAACAAGCATCACACTTGTGTGTATGGTCAAAGCTCTATTAAACTCCAAAATAGTAAAAAAATATTTATTCATCGAATTTCACTTTCTAATCACGTTCTGATAATAAATGACTTAGGTTCTTCCTTCTCACATTTTTTTGTTGTTTATTTGAAGCATACGGAAGATTGAAAGCTGGAAACGTTTTGAGACTTGAGGAAGTCTAGTCAAGATTAGAAGATTTTTCATCATGAAAATTGATTGCATTTTTGGACATGCTGAGGTAAATGCTGATTCATTGTTTTAATAAAATGAAGTGTTTTGATTTGGATCACATGCGTTCCCCTAAGGCGCACATTTTAAGACATTTAGGAATTGTCACGTAAGTTTTCATGACTTAAGGAAAAAAGTTTATATCTTGAAGAATTCCCTTAATCAAAGATTTACTTCTTTAGGATATTTAAATCACATATTTAAACATTATCATATAGAGACACAAAATCAAGATACAAATCAAAAAAAGACTCAATCCAATTCCAAAAAAATTGCATTCTCAGATTTCAAAGAA